TCGGGTTATTGGTCGACAGTTGGAGGATTAGGTATCCTATAGTACACATATAAATTAGGTTATATTGACAGTTATTGGGAGCTTTTTATCAGTAATAAAAAATATATTGGTGTTTGAGTCCCAAAATTTTATATACAAAAGATAACGAACATTGATAAACACAATAATATAAATTCTATAATTTCATTCAGACTTTTCAATACCTAATCAAATTCATTGTAAATCAAAACCTTCACACATTACATGTTGTTACCTTACCACTCATGTAGGAGTCCAATTATTATCTCATACGGTGCATAATGAGAAAATTAATATGAGTAAAACTTCCACTCTAACATGCAATATTAAAATTCATGATTTTTGTAATTAAAAAAAATTAGAATGTAATACATAATATAATCTTTTTAAACAATTAATATATTTATTATTTGAAGTATCACAATAATTAAAGATAAAATCAATTTAATATATATATATATATATATATATATATATATATATATATATATATATATATATATATATAAACCTTATTTTATAAATTGATTTTGTAAAAAATATTGGAGACACTCATTATAAAAAAGTAAGTTTATAGTATATAAATTAATATAAACATTACTTTGTAAGAGAATTTTAAAGATTTCACGTAAACTAAAAATAAAGTAAATTTATAATATATAAGTGAATGTATATTTTTTTCATATAGTATTAGAATTACTATCGAGATATTTTATTATTTATTATTTCTATTATGTTACCTATTATTTGTTATAAAATCAATTTACATTAAATATGTAACAAATCGATTTTGTATGATTGAATTAAACTTCAAATTTACTTTTAACATTTATTTCTTTATATTTTGTTTCTTTCACAAAAAAAAACAATTTATAATATGTAATTAAATGCATATTTCACCATAGAAACTATTTTTGTTTTTGTTTTTGTTGAATTGACTTATATTTAAAGGATAGTGAAATTTATATAAAAGAGAATTGGATCGATGACAAAAACATACCTAATGATGATAATGAATCATGAAGGGTCTGCACTTTAAGTGTTTGAACAAAGTCCACAGGGGTAGGGTAAGCTCCTTAAAAATATCCTGAACATTTTTCACTAGCTAAATGTATCATAGTCTCTAACCCTATGTTAGATTGCTGCTAGCTAATTTGTTGTCATCATTGACTATTAAAACAGGGCAATGAAAGTGAGTTGAGTTTCAGTAACAATATAAAGAATGTTTATACAATAAATGATAAATATTTGCCTCTTACTAAATTTTATAGATAAAAAAAATGAAAAAGCCATTTTTGAATTATTATTGCTCAATGGAAATTTTCACTTTTTCCTCACTTCCGAATTTCATCGACTACATCATTCGGACAAAAGAAAACACCTTACAAGTTACAACATGGTATTTAGTTTTTAAGAAAAAAATGTGAAGTTAAAATTCTTTAAAAAAGTCCGATGTTAAGTTAACAAAATCTGATTTAAAGTAAATTCAAAGGTAGCAATTAATTTATAGGAATGTGGGTGTGGTGTAATAGTAATCACGTGCATCATGGATGAGTTTGCAGTCTGTTGTCAACCGTTGAAATGTATTAACATGTGAAGTGATGATATCATGATAATACATTGAACCCAAGTGATGGAAGTTAGTAAGATTCTTGCAGATTTTGTCTCAATAATTAATGACTAACTCAACGTCAATCACGCAAACATGCTTCACATACCTACCATTTTCCTTACCTCAATCCACTTGGATCATTCATTTCAATATTCTCTCTCCATCTTTGACTTCCAATCAATCAACCTATTCTCGATTGCTGTATGTTTTTCGCCTTGCAAAATGCCCTTTTTTTCCTTTTCGGATACTAATGATTTTATCACAATATTAAACTAACACTTTAATCAAAGAAGATCAACAAATTAACCATCACTTTAGATTTTACTTATGGCACCAATGATGTCAAGTTCGTTCATACTGAGTTCATATACATCTTCCTGGTTTTTGAGCCATGCCAAAAAAGGTCTGACACATGGTGGAGTCATTATATATATGCTTGAGCTAGATTGCTAACGTATCTAGCTTTCACAGCCAAAACCTAGATACCCTTTTGTTTTATATGCCTAAACCACCCTCACTTATTATCATTTTTTTATCTAATAGGTGTCTACTATCAATTATGTATCAGTATGATTAACATAGATGCATATTTCGATGTATAATATTTATTTACACTGCATCAATGGAACTGGTTTTTTATACTGTACTGATTTGTGAAAGTAGCTTTTTTACCACATCATCAACCGTATCAGTTTTCTATTACATAAATTACTACATTGTACGAGAATATCATAGAACTGATCAATCTCCACTTTATCATGCAGACGAGGTCTGATAATTTTACTTTTATCTATGTGTAAACTTATCTATGTTATGGCCACAGCCCAACCCTAATATAATAGCTACTTCCACAAATCATAAAATACTAAAAATCGTATACGTAAAGCTGCCTTGGTTTTCGTTGTTGAAACTTTCACAGCGAAGTCTCACTCGAACCCTTTTATAAAGCCTCTCATACTTTGTAGTTCACACACACATCCATGTCCACATTTAGTGCTTAACCACACAGTTTGGTTCATCATCTTCTTAATCACTTTTCTTTCCAATAGAGATAGATATCTTAATTTCCTTCCATCATGGCTGAAGTTGAATACCATGCAAAATCCACTGCTAATACCCCACCCCTAAAGCTCTTCGGCATCAACATTAACAAGTCCCCAGAAGATCAAACCGATCGCGAAGCAGGTTCCGATTCTGAGCCTTTCATTGCAAGAAAATACGAGTGTCAGTACTGTTTCAGAGAATTCGCAAACTCACAGGCACTTGGTGGGCACCAAAACGCGCACAAGAAAGAGAGACAGCTCTTGAAACGTGCTCAAATGCAGGCTGCTCGCGGCTTTGTGGCTTCACACGTTCACAACACCATCGTATCAACCTTCTCACCACAATCTCAGCCACCTTTATCGTGGCTATGCACACCACATGCATGGTCAGGTGGTGGTGCGTATGACTCGGGAGTGGCTTTTGTGACTCCCGGAAGACGAGTCTATGCCACGGCCGGTGCCTCCATCACTGGTGGCCTTGGCCATCGCAATCCTCCGGCGGAGATCGGTGGCTTCAACGGCCACAGCTTCAACGGCAGAGGTAACGGTGGTGGTGGTTTGGATTTGCATCTTAGCCTATGAGTTATTGTGAGGTAGATTAATTTTTCATTCAATTTAGCACCATGTGTGAACAGCCTTGTATTCTGAGTTGTATGCCAATGTAAATTTTATATAAGTATTTAGAGTCGTTGGGAAATATTTTTATACATTTTTCATGCCGATCCGCTTCGAACAAATATATATGACACGGGTCATTCACGATGAGGATATTATTTATTTATATATTTCATTTCCAACAACCTAATATTTAAGCAAGTTTGAGTATAAAAAGGACTACTTGATCAATCTTACAAATCCACAACATTATTAACAACAACAACAATGTGTATATAACATACAAACAAAAATAAGATAGGAAAGAGTTTATATATACATAAAATATATAAAAAAGTTTTTTAAAATAATACATGATGTACTCTATGACTATTCAGTCAATTAAAGATTTCACAGTCGATCATCCAACAAAGAAATGATCCATCGATCTAAAATCTTATTTGAAACAATACTAAAAATAAATATCAGTAGACCATCCAACGAAAAAATATCAACTGCTCTCAAACCTTATATGAAACAATATCAAAAATAAATATCTTACTATTACATAGACATAGTGTCTGACCATCTTCCGTGTAATTGGTATTAGAGTAAATGTTTCCTTTCAAAGAAAACATGATTTGTATGGTTGTTTTGTTGGAAGTCTCACGTCGATTAGTGATAAGATCAATTTATAATATATAAGTGAGGTGCAAACCTAGTCTTACAAGCTGAATCGATTTTGTAGGATTGAGTTAGATTTAAAATCCAATTCTAAAGATGTTTTTCACATTTGCAGTGCATATATACATCATCCACTGAAATATAGCACCCACTCTTTGACGAGATTCTACTAAGCGTCGATCGGCTTTCTAAGAACATGCATTGACTTTGATGGTACAATCTATTCCAGAAAGTAAATTTGGGTTCCCTCAATAATTGTCTTCTGTGCTGTCGTTACTGAATAGAAGATGCATGTGCAATTATGTCACATATCACACAGCCTGGTAAATCTTCGAATTAAAATGAGTCCAAATTAGTTTTTGTTATGGTAAAACTTATATATACTATTTGCTTTATTGATTATTATACGTATTTTAATTTGTCTTATGCTTGTAATGACTCATTTCAACTTACTATCCTGTTCGTTAACTCTATTCTTTTATTTATTTATTTGGATATTAGAGTTTTATTATTTGACTTACATTAATATATATATATATATATATATATATATATATATATAGAGAGAGAGAGAGAGAGAGAGAGAGAGAGAGAGAGAGAAAGTAACATTCAAACTCAAGACAAAACCAGAACTTTTTTAATAATTTCTTTGTAAATTGAACCAATTATAGACTAATATAAATTTGATCAATTGGATTAAATCACGTCGGTAATGTTAATTTTTTAATTCAACAAATTGCTTGTTTTTTTTATATGCATAATTACTTAAAGAGTTAAATTTATTTTTAATTTTTTAAATTTTAGTAAAAATTAAAACTAGTTTTTTTAAAAAAATGTGAATCTAATAGTTCTCTAATTTTAAAAACATATGAATTTAGTTTTTTTAATTAAATTTTATTAAATTCATTTAACGTTTGAAATGATTTTCGAATAACATTTGAAATGGTACATCATTTGACATAGTTCTGTTTTGATATTAATTGAGAATAAAAATTTAATTATTATACTGTTTATTAAATCAAGTTCAAAACATTATGGTTTCTTTCTATTTTTCTAATTTCACTTTGTCCCAATTCCAAAGAATTTTATTTGGACTCCATTTGTAAAAATATACAGTTTTCTTAATACATGTCCTTTTTTTTTCTCTTTTAAAACTCCACTCTACAATTTGGTCCATCTCTTACATGTTTCTGTCTCATATATATCTTGATTTCTGGTTATTCTTGTGGTTTTTCTTTTTGTTTGAACTTTGTCATGGTAAATAATTACACGTAATAGTATATAAAATAGTAATAAAAATAACTAAGAAATTTGGTTATAATAATAAGGTTTCATATAAATTTTGGTCCCAATTTTTTTCAGTTTTATTTAAAATGGTCTTAATTTTTTTTTCTGTTCAATTTTGTTCTAAAGAATATAATTATGTTCAATTTAGTCCTCTTTGCAGAGGGTATTTAAATCGTTAACGTGCACTGTCGAGATATGCAATAAATGATACATTACCTTTGACACGTCATCATCATCTCCAACCTCCAGAAGCCTTAATTTCCCCTACACAGAAACCTTAGCCACCACCTAACCTTAACCGCCGCCACCACGGTCAACCACCATCTTCGCACCTCCATCATCTTCTCCACCACCTAAGCCCTAATTTTTGAAAATGTATTTCTGATTAGGGTCTCAGCTCGCCAGGCCACCATCTTCGCGCATCATCTTCCTCGCGCTTCCAAAACCTTAGGTCGCCGCCACTGCGCAGCAAAGCCCATTTAGGATGTCGTCGCCATAAGAATCGCGTCACTCAACGCAAGAACCTGCAAACACCACATCTCCATCCGCGACGCCATCAAACCTGCAGCAAATCACGAGTCTTCCTCCTCTAGCACCAACCTAAATCGTGAGTTTCGTACAACATTCATAACCAACAGCGAAATCTCCATGGTCGTCGCTACTACTACTACCACTCTCCCTTCTTCAATGCGCCGCCGTGGAACACACCTCCATCATCTTCGCCAACCCCAAACCTACAAACCACAAAAACCAGAAATCTGCAAGACCACGAGCTTAAATCGCAAATCCCTCTGGCGAACCGATCAGCTCCCGTGCTTCCACCGTTCGGTAGTCTCACCTCTTCAACCGTTAGGTTCCCTTCTTCTTCTCCCTTAGCCTTTGTTCGCTTGTGGGAAATTACTGTTCCTGAAAATTTGCGAGAGATGATTTGCGATAAAAAACGCGTTCACATGAAAGGATTTGCGAAGATTTGCGAGATATAGGAATTTTTCATGTCTCGCAGTTTTGCGAAGATTTAAACGGATTCACGGTGAAATGTTCTTTTTACCCTCAATCTTTTTATAAAATGTCATCACCGTGAAGAAGATGAAGAAGAGAGGAAGAAGCGGTTCCTCTTCGAACCACTTCAGCGTTTCTGAAACCAAAACGAGATTCCAATTCAAATCAAAATTGCAGTTTTCAATTCCTCTTCGTAACTCTCATGACGCATTCGCATTTGGCGAACACCACCATTAGTTCGAAGAACAGACCCCGCCAAGGCACCTCTGCGAAGACCTCGAGGATCTCGAAGCCTCTCCGTAATCTACAAAATCAACAAACATTAGAAAGAAAACCTCACGTTGTTGGCGAAGAAGCTCATCGCTGCGGAGTACCTCCTCTGTCTTCTCCATCGCCGTGCTCCCCATCTGCGTTAGCACTGCATTGCTCGGCTATTGCCATATATTACCTGAAAAAAACCCTTGCTCTCACTACACCTTGTTTCCTTACTCACCAGAAAAAACCCTTTTCTAAGCTAACCCTTTTTTCTTTCAATAATCACTTTATTTTTCTTATTTATAAAATGCCCTTCTTTTTAATATGCCTTTTTTTGCTCTAGTTCTAATTACTCGGTTCCATTTTAGTTTAACCATGTTAAGTTAGTTTTTATTTTTCTTTTAAGTTTTAATTCTATCTTAACTTTTGAAAAAATATTTTAATTAAGTTATTTTAAAAAAAAATATTAATAGCATGTCATGTATTAATAGTATTCATTTCACTAAATTATAATTTTTTTACTTTTTAAAAATTAATTTTAATATATTTTTTAATTTTTTACTTTTTATAATTTTTTTTATAATTAAATATAATATTAACAATTATCATTTTATATTATTTTAATAACTAGGGGTATTTTGGTAATCTTTAATTTCTACTAATTAAACAAATTTTTTAAAACTTTGACATGAATCAAATCCTACACTAATTCTCACAAAATTTACTTCTAAATCTACTCTCAATTACTCACAAATCCACTCAAAAAAACAACCAAAAAATTACCCTGAAATCCACTCAAATCCATTCAAATCATCTCCTCCAAATCATCTTCCCTAAATCACTCCAAAAGAACAAAGTCTTACTGCTCGACCTCTTCCTGCCTTCCACCTCACTGTTCCTGAAAGGAATCCACGTGGGCAATTAATTGTGCGTTGTTAATGATTTAAACACCATTTGAAAGAAGGACTAAATTGAACATAAATTACATTCTTTAGGACAACATTGAAAAAAAAATTAAAAAATTAGTACCATTTCGAATAAAATTGACAAAGATTGGACCAAAATTGATATTAAACCTAATAATAAAAACAATAAACCATAGTAATTATTAATGTTATATTTACCTGATTTTTTACATGTACAAATTTGTATCATTCTATTTTTTGAAATTAATATTCAAATTTATTCCAGATAACTGCTGTAGCAAGAAAAGTGTTGCCCCTACACTCACAACTGCAACATGGAATGTTTTATAAGTGCTACACCAACTCATTAAAGCATTAATCAAATCCAGAGCAAACTAAAAAGTTGACATTAGATCAACAAATCCGTAACATAAACTGCAACAACATAATTAGCATATATCTCATCATAACTAATCAAGGGAAAAGGAAAGAAAAAATGTGCTAACAAATTCAGAAGGTAAAACTGTTAAATATATCGAGAAGGAGGTTCATTGAGAAGATAAAATACCAATGACATATGAGTTCAACCACGTAAGAGATTGACATCACTCTCTACCCACAACCTTAATAGATCTTCAATCTTATATGGTACTCTACTTTCTCATTTCTATCCAATGTGAGACTTAGACTCACTTGGAATCCTAACAAAAACAAAGTCTCAGACCAAGTTTGAAACAAGAAAATTAACTTCCCCAGTTCCATGCATATTCACGTTGGTCATGTTATGGTATTTATGTTTGATCTTACTGCACATAAACGCTCTCAAATTAACATAATTATGACCAAACTTTCAAAAGCTGCAGGTTAGCATCAATAGAAATTAAATTAACAGATGAAACAGCAGTTCTTTACTGTAAAAATTCTGCCTTAATACCCTAGAAACCTTAGCCCTTCTTAATCAAACCTGGAATTAAACTAGAGTAAAGTTTTGGAATACCTTTCCAATATCGACTACTAAACAGATCAAACCATCCAGCTTCTTGTTCAGAAGAACCTTCACTCGCTGCTGTCAGGTCCTGCATAACCAAAGCCACTCTTTCCTTTCCATACAGTGTTATAACAGCCTTTTCAGCTTCCAATATTTTTCCTTGCTACAAGGTAACAGATGTAATTTTATCAAAAATATATACAAGAAAATTACAGCAATTTCACTAAACTATTAATGACAAACTTCGCAAAAAACTAGACATCATCTTTGGTATTGAGATTATACATGACCACCATAACTGTAAAAATTAACCCATTTAAAAGCTTTAAGGATCCCGATAGTGTCTTTAGACATTTAAAACATAACATAAGTTCTTTCCTTTGAACATGTTGATGGTTAGTTTGAAAAGTTTACACCATAGGAGACTATAATCCAAGGTATATTTAACAGGGTGTTATTGATGTGTCTAAAAGTAGTAATCTTATATAAGAAAAGAAACTTAGAGCAGCAATTCAAGCTGCTTGTCTTGTAAATGTGTTGTTCTGCTATAAGAGAATGTATAAAATTGCCAGATAACCTGAAAAAGCCAGCGAGGACTTTCTGGAGAAATAGCCATTCCAAGCGCTAACAGAAAAGATGGAACTACAGTAATTCCAAACATTGTCCGCCACCTGATAATTAAACGAGGGAGAAGAGGGTGTATGCTAATGAACACACATTTCATTAACAAACAAACAAATGATTCCAGATCTTCCAAGTAAAAACCATGATACTCGATAATGGCCATGCTTCAAAACTCTCTAGGAATACTACTAATGAAAGGAATTACTTTGCAAAATTATCTTCTAGGACAAAGCTCCACTTTCTTTCTCATGGAATGCTAATAATATGTGGATTTCACTTCTAAAATTCACACTGAATATAGTCATTTACATCACTAATATACATGCTCTGTGGAAAATAAGCTCAAGAAGTAACAGCTGACAACTGATAAGATCTGATAAGATGGTAGAATGAAACAACTCAAACAGTCAATACCATCTAGGATTTCCCTCCAGAGGCAAACCAGCCAGCAGTGCTGCAAGAATCCCAATACATATAAAAAGTTGATTAACAGATCCAAGGGCACCTCGAATATCGGTTGGAGAAATCTGTCCATTTGTAGGAATCACCACGTGATCCATAGAAAATATGTACATATGATCACAGGTTAAACATGTTTATAAGGCTATCACCTCAGATATGTAAAGTGGTACTATTGCAGATGCTACACCGATTCCTATACCGGCTAACAAGCGACCAATGATCATTGTTTGAACAGTCTGAGCAGCAGCACTGTAAATGTAGCATAATTTAACTCATCAATCTAAAAAATACATAAATGATCAAACCTTATACCCAAGAGCAATTGACTGACCAAAGAAACCCTCCAATTGCCAGAGGGATTACATCCAACTGAAAAGTCCTAGTCCGGCCAAATTTGTCAGCCAATGTTCCACCAGTAAATGAACCAACAGTAGCACCAGCAAGCAGTGCACTCACAATCCATCCTGATCATGGATTAGTTCCAATCAAAATAATGAGAGAATAATTAATGTTCATATTCAAGTCAAATTAGAATTTAGAGATAAGCTGAAGTTTTCTCATGATAAATATAAAAGCCAAATTAA